GCTGAGAGAAACACAGAGAAACAGAGACGCGACCGGGGGAGGATCGGAAAAGATCGGAAACACTCGGGCGTTTACGTAAGAACGCCTCGCCCATCCCTCACAGACTATATTTTAATAATCTGTCTGCTGCTAAAGAAGAAAATTGAACCAAGTTAAACATTTATGCATTCAGGCTTATGTCATGAGCTGAGTTCAAGCTTTTTAAGTGTCGAATTCAAGAAGGCGTATTATGACAACAGGAAAGACCAAGATAGCATTGGTAGAACAAAGCAGTGGAGGATCGCACTCAGCCTAAATGTTTAATGCGTTTTGAGTATCCCTAATAATAGGATAGCCTACTTACATTATAAATACGGACTAAAATAAACCCTCAATACAAGCTTTCTTTGCACATAGGACTAGGCACTTAGGACTCACTGTATATGATTAACCTATAAAGAACAAAGAAATGTGTTTTTGAATTGATATGTATAAGAAAGACTTCACTACATATAGAGCTAAAGAACTAGGCATACATATGAGACTGTTATGGTGGAAGGAATATGTTTTACAGCAGCAATATAAGAGATTTCCAGAAGCATTGTCACAAAGATATGCACAAATATGTTATGTATTTGAAACATGTGCTGTATGAATTAAATACAGTAAACATTAAAAGCATCAAAGGATTTGGCCGGAGATAAGACCGTTCCCACATTCAAGAAATACACTTGGACTTCTTGTCAGTTTTTTTATGGACAAAATAAGGTTAATCTAAAATGCACAAAATATGCAGGACAGTTGGAAATGAGAGCTTTGATTCTCATTGTGATTTTTTATGTTAAAAATTCTTTAGTTTGTTGAATTAAAATTGCATTACATGATTTGCTTGTGACCCACATTAACCCTAGAAATGTATTTGTGCGGTCTTTCCCCATAATAGGACAAAAATACCATATTGCGCAAAATTCTGCAATATTCAGACAGGCAGCTAGAGGGGTTTTAGTCTCATGAGGTTTTAAGTTGTGACACAGACCAGTTAGAATAATCTGAAACGATTTTTTGTCTCACATTCACTGACTCTCAATTCCAGTAAAAATGACATGACTACATCCAAATAAAAAAATGCACTTCCTACCTTTCATATCCCACCTTCACCTTTTCAATAAATGGCATCAAAAAAAAGAAAAAAAAGTGATAGATTTTACTTGACCGAACCCTGATGACCCATATCACCAATTGGAACAGATTCTCTGAAGTGTTGTTGGCGAAGCAACAACTTTGTAAAATCCTCAGAGACGATATGTTCTAGTCAGTTATTTATTTGAAAGGGACAGTGCACAGCAACAATAAACTCTGAGACAGCTGTTGTGATTTATGGCTCTACAAAAATACATTGAGTTGAATCGAAAGCAAAGACCACAACATGAGAAAAATGACATTTTATTGAATCTGCAGAATCATAAGTACAATTTGATGTGCTGTAACATGGTGACAGGAGATCAGACCAGGTCCGTTATGCATAATGTTCTCTTTACGTCATCAGTACGCATTGTTACGGTCATCTAGTTCATTTAAAAAACAACAAAAATATATATATCAAAAGAAATCAAAATGGAATGAAAAAAACTGGGTTACATTTTCTCAGCAAAGTCTACACGATTAAACCAGTTTCATTGATGGATGCAAGGAATTCTTTTGTTTAGTTAATGGTAGGAGTTTACACCGATGTTGGAAAGGGGGTGAAGCAGACATGACAGATTGGACAATGAACGGGGAAAAGGGAATAAGATGGTTTTGTAATTCAATAGACAGAAATATTTGGTGAAAAAGTATTATATCCTGACTATCTTTTTTAGGTGACACACAATTTTCCCTGTCTTGACGAAGCAATGGGAGCTTTTCAAACTTCCAGCAAAAACCGTACAATCTTGGCGGCTTCACATTACTTACGCATTCATCCAACATACAACCTTCGCTCATTTGCGTCTGGAGACCTTTTAACTTTTTTGAAAGGTAATCCCCAAATCTATCAATCAAATACAGCTTTGCGATCTTTGCATTTTTTCTATAAAACGTGAGTGAATGATGGTAAGTTCTTTCCATATGTCTGGCATTCATATTTCGCCTACACGCCTATCAATTTCATTATGTTATAAAGTTGCATTTTTTTATGAACACGAACTTGCACCACACTGATGTTTTTTTTATGCATTCTTTTAAAAAATAATAAATCAATCGCCCATATTCACAAAAATATTGGAACCACTATTTTTTATTCATTTCGGCAGCCACTTCCCAGAGCACCAAGACCAGTAAAATAATTCCCCTAACTCATTATGATACATATAATTGTACAAAGTCATCTAGCTACATAGTGAGAGCCAAGATTTATTTTTTCTCCTCCTTTTTTTTTTTTTAATCAAGAAAGCTGAAGATCTGGCGCCCCAACAACCAAAAGACACCGACTTGTAATGATCAGGGCGAGTATGATATTTACACCAATATGTTGAATTGATTAAAAAGTTAAAATATTTGTTCACTCACAGAATTGCGGCATAAAAACCAATAAACTACACAACATTTCCGTGGAATTCGCCAGAAAAAAAAGCTGGGGTACCTAACTTTTTGCAAATCAGACCACAGCATGAATTCTTTTTGTCTTTTGCATTCAGAGCCCTGTGAGTTACTTTTTGACACTTTGGGTTGAGAGCTGAGAGCTGATTGGCTGAGAGAGGTTGGATGTTTTCCGTCTGAAAAAGCGGATAAATGTGAGAGGCCAAAAAACACAAGCGATTGAGTCAAACTTATGAGAGCAAGGAACTATTTAGATGGACTTTAATAAATAGTTAAATTTTTATTTGAAAATTAGGCGCCCCAGCTTTAAACTTGCATTCATAACGCAACCATCTGAATGTGACAAGCAATAAAAATTTGCTCTTGTTGATACACATATTTAACGTATTATTTGCTAGACATTACCCGCAGCTAGCTTGGATTCGAAACATCTCACGACAAGTTTGTTATTGGTGTAATACAATGTTTTAGATATTTTTAAATCATGGCCGCTGCTGCTGGCAATTCATTCAATGGACATTTTAAAATACAAGAGCAAAAGTGTAAAGAAATCCACATGAAACGACAAAAGTAAAGATTTGAACCCACAATTTGAGAAATCATGAGAGGAATGCTAAAAGTGCAGACGGGGGAAATAAGGTTCTACTATGTTGAGTTGTGCTTGGCCTCGTCTCTATACACAACATGTAAAGTCCTGTGGTCATTTTAATATGTGTAATGCATCCTGTAAATAGTTCATAAGCAGGCAGCCATACCGAAAGACAAACCTGCCTAAGTTCAACGAAAGCGTCACAGATATTGAAATGAATTTGCAGGAAAAATGCATTAAATTTAAGAAAATTGTCTACAGTGTATCTACGGATAGTTATGTGGAATAGGAAGTTCATTACCAATTTGTTTTATTTTCCTCCGAGACGGAAGGAAGGCATCCAGGCGGCAAAGACAGTAATAAAAGATTGTAGCTATATCCGAACTTGCTTAAGGTGGAACTTCCAGTGAGGCTGTTTAAGGTGGACTGACCGTGTCCCCCCAAACTTGTCCCTGATGCCTCCTGTTCATGTTAACGACAGGAAGTGCACTCCTATAGCTAAAATGAGGCTACAATTCCAGTTTTACAACCCACAATGCAGTGCTGAACTTCTATTTGTCCACATATAAATATATTAAAACTCTTGAACTATATCGAAGTGGCTTAATATCGAAGAAAATATTAAAAGGAATGTATACAAGTTAAGATAAGGTTAATAAATTGGAGTTTCCGAGCGGTTGTTTCCAGTCTGGCCAAGTCTGTGTTGCTAAAATACGTCTTGTGCAAATAGTTTTAGAAAGCAGATGAGAATGTTGATGAACTTTTGGAGCAAGATTTAGGCTGAATTGGTTATAAATGTGAAATAATGAGTTTACATATATGGCAACCCTAAATTCTTCAACCCTGCTAAAACCATTTGCTATCTATAGGAGCTGCATGGTATAGTAATTATTGTGTGTTATAATATGCACGTTGTTTGGTTTTAAGTGCAAGACATAGATAGGGAATGAGCGCTGCATGTTCCACAATGTATTGATCGATTAATTTAATTTTCAAACATAGAATAAAACATGTGTAGGACGCCTTTTGTCAGTACTTGAGACAACAGAGTCCAGCAGTCACAGAAGAGACAAAGAAAGAGACACATTCAAAATTAAAGTGCCAAGGACAGGTGATATAACCTTTTGCAAATATACATTCTCATTTTGCACCAATCAGAAAGCAGTTTGTGATAATAAAAAAAGAAAAGTAAAACACGGGTTCACTTGGGGTGGATTTTACTTCATTTGCGGATATGTGAAAGCACCAAACAAGTGAACTCTGGTCCACTCGTCACTTAAGTCAGTTCACTTCTTTTGAAACAGCTCTGAGGAGGACTGTTGCATTTGCTTCTGGCGCCCCCAAGATGCAGTTTTCAACCACATCTTGGTGTCAATTCACAAATTACTTTTAATGATATGTTTTGTGTTACATCCTAGAGATTTCTATTAGGCCTGTCACAATAACCCAGAGATTATCACAATCATTTTTTGGATTAAACTGCAAAATGTTGCTACTTTATGGCACTGATGCGAACACAATAAAGCAGTATAATCTCAATCATCAGTTATTGAGTGATAAATCGATATATATAAATAATTTTTGTGACAGGCCTAAGTTTGATGTCATCATTACACTATCTGGATGTCAAATTTGAATTACAAAAGTGGAATAATAATAATTGTAAAACTCTAGTAGTCTAACCTGTCATTGGCACTTTTGGGGAATGGAAGCAGGTAGGAAAGGAGACGACAAAGAAGAAAACGTGTAAAATGAATATAAAGCGGCTTTAAGGTTAAGATGAGATGGCACTGGGCGTTTTTCTTAACTTCTTCCCCTCACTTCTCTAGACTCTTTTCCGTATGATGCGTGCGGCTCAGAACGCCTCCACGTAGTTGGAAGGGAGCATGCCCACTTGGCCGGTGCGCTCCACACAGCCCTGCATCCAGCCCTCGTCGATGATCTGCGCTCCCACGATCACGTCTCCTTCCAAGAAAGAAACCTCGTCATCGTCAGCAGCGGTGTAGTCGTACATCGCCCGGTATCGTTTCTACCACAAAAGGAAAAAGGACGTTGTTAATGTTGTTTAAAGCCACACCAAGGCTGATCAGTGGGCGCTCCAGCAGGCGGAGAGAACGGCAGAGAATCACTGAGATCAGAAGAAATCTTCATCAAAGGGTCCAACCTTTTTCCCCAAGATGCAGAGAGCTTCTTTTTCAGGACAAACTGACAGGAGATGTGACTCCACAATTTTAGCCTGATATAGGTGTGACATTTCTGACCAACAGGTGACTGTGGGGTGATTTTCAATAACTGATGAAGCAATTATTCAATACAAGTTCCCATACATTTCAGAAAATGTTTTAAAAAATGAGGTCTGACCAATCAAAGTTTTCTAATAGATGTAGAAGATTCACTGTAAAGTATATATAAACTAGTAACTTTTATCACAACATTTTTGAATAGTTACATATACATAGATTCAGCTTATAAATTATGAAAATATTGAGATGTCTCATTTGGAATAAGAAAATGATGCTTCTGCCTGACAACAATTGGGTAGATACTTTTGTTAGGGTTCCATTGACAATTTTTTAAACAAACTCATATCCAGAACTTTTATGCCACATTTATTTTTTATGGATCTTCAATTGAATCCGTTTATTAGTGCACAAGGTTAAACAGTAGTATCCATGGAAAAGATATGACATATTATGCAATTTGAATTTCCAAATACTTTGGGGAGTAAATTGGGGGAGACCTATGGGAGACCTATGGGAGAGGAGACCGCAGCCCCACCTGCTTAAAAAAGTGCTAATTGCTTTAGTATGTCAAAAACGGACTAATTCAGCAAAACATGTTCAAAGCTTGTACCACTATTTTGTCATGATGTGATAAACATTTCTATTTGATAAAACAATATAACAAAAGCAGCGGCTGCCTGCGCACTCACCCCAACAGGTGCAGCGGGCTCCGGGGCACGGACTGGTGCAGGAGGCTCCGAGACACGCTCAGGGGCCCGCTCGGGGCCGCGCTCCGGGGCGCGCTCGTAGCTGCGTGATGACACTTGCTCTTGGCCTGGGTGCTCTGAGGAAAAGAAGAGTCAATTGTAACTATAACTGCAATTTACTAAATACTATACTAAAATATTGGTTGGAATATAATGACTAATTCTTCACAAGGATTTAAGATTAAGTCAAGTCTAATAATCAATTACGGCTGCACAATGTTGAAAGTGAGGTATGTGATGGTGGTGTCAAGGACTGCAATAACAACAGACAGAGCCCTGCAAAAGTATCCATGCAGCTTGAGCTTTTGTACTTTTTGATGTCACGACCACAAACAGATTTTATTTTTTACTTTTTTTATACTGAAATACCACAACAGTACCTCATCCATGTGAAAGCAAAATGATACATAGCCATAGGTGACCATACAAATATTGCACTTATCTCAATACGTTTCTAATACATTATGTACAGCTTTACTAAGAACGCATTAACACGCTGAAAAACACGCTGAAACTTGACATTTCTTGTTACACAATGGTGAAGACAATGCCTCAAGTGTTTGGGGGAAGAGAAAAACAGCAGCTCTGAATACTCACTTACCTGGGAAATTCTACAGCCAATAATATCTACCACAAACATTTTTCCATCCTCTGGACAAAACACAGCACGGCATGGGTTACAGCAGAATGTTCATATATTATAGCTGCAAGTTTCAAGATAAAACTTTGTATATGTATCTTTAGTATAATAATGCACCTGTTCAATACTTTAAAACTTGGGGCTAAATATTAGTAATAATAGTAATGATAATAATACTAGTTTTAACGCGACCTCAGTGAGATTGCAAAAGAAAGTTTTTACAAGTTGAAAATCCAGACAACCTGATAAATAATACCATTGTGTTGGTCATGTTGAGTGTGGTTGCTAGGTAACAGTTACAGAACTCTCAAACAGTCCAACTAGAAAGTAGCTTCAACGTTGTCCTTCCACAAAGCTTTTGATAAATAATAAACTATAATGAACTTAAGTCTGTTTGGTGGAGTAGTTGATTAGCTTGAAACAATTGAATTAAAAATACAGTACGTTACATTTTTGACCTTCTACCTTTCATTATTGTATTTCTTAGTGTTCCAATTTGATTTTCTTATCTGCTGTTGGCAAAGCTTCAAACCTGCGTCACACCTTAGACAACTGCTTTTTGGCTAAGAATTGACACACTTTTTTTTAAGGCTATGGGGCTTATAATTAATCAAAGACTAATAATGAAAAAATAAGGCTTCAAGTTAAAGACAAGAACAAGGATGGGTGAAATTTATGGAAAATGTATTAATTTTTATGTTTCAAATGTTTCATAATGTGTCAATCCACCAACATAGTGCTGAACCATCTAAATGTGTCAGTTGTGGTTTAAGATTTGCAACAACTTTGGATTTGAACATATCACACATACCTCCTACTGACACAAGTCTTCTCTTTTCACCGTCGTGGTAATTGACCTGAAAGAGAAGAATTAAATACACAATTATTACTCCACTTCCATGACCGATAAATAATAATTGCAGTTCCTCCTTTGTCCAGCAGAGGTCTCTTTCGGGCTTTGCTGTGGCCTGTGAGAAAAGGTGGGGCTGCGACCAAGGCTGCATGCGGATTCAAGCACTCTTCTTGCTTATATCCTTCCTTGCCCTTTGAAATAGTTATTTTATTAAACACATTAGAACCAGTCAGCTCCTTTTTAAGACGTTTAATGCCACGTTTGGTCAAATCCAAAAACGCTAAGGTCAATGAAAACGAAAAGGACATGATAGAATGCATTTCTTTTTACTGTATTTGGATGCAGCCCTTCAGGCAGCAGCGGCTTTGACGAGGACAGGAAGTGACATCTAAGGCAGGAAGTAGAAGTCACCATAGCAACTTCTACTGACACATCACTGCAAATCGGTGAAGCGGAAAAGGGGGAACTCACGACGGCTTCAATGCTTTTGTGTTTCCTGCTGATATTGAGGAGTTAAGGAAGAGGTTAACCACTTCATTGAGCAAAAAATAAACTCAAGGTTGAGCACAGATGGGCAGGGAGTGGGGCGAAAAGTCCAGTTTTGACTGTATGCCAGGATTTGATAAGAAATGTGATTTTGTTACATAAAACATGAGTGATACAATAAACACTTGATATACATTTTGTGATCCATCAATCAAAATATCATTAAGGGCTCACTACAATGTTTCTACAGTATATATAAACCCTATTCTGAGCAAACCTAATGGAATACTCACATTTTAATTTGTAAAAAACTGAAAAAGGACAATGGTCACAGATAGAATAGACAACAACTATATTGATATACGCATGATATCAAAATAGATTCCTTATTCCAGATGATATCAAGGTGCAGTCAATATAATGTTGAATATAATAAAATATAAATGACATGGCTGGGCCTTTATGAAAGCCTAGAGCAGCCTAGAGCCAGTAACAATTAGATTTATTCACATTTTACCTAAACAAAGCTGAGGTGATACCAATTAAATATATCAATCAAATTTCTTACATCATATCAGATTAGGACAGCTATGTATTTTGTTTCTTTCCAATTGATATAAGAACTGGGGTTGTCCCATTTCGATAATCCACCTTTTTAACCATGCTGAACTATGTTTGCTTTTATTGTACATTTTTGATAAAAACAGTCTCACATAGACAAAGCAAATGTGACAAAAATATTTACAACATAAACATAATGCTTAATGTTTTCTTTCATTTTTGTATGATCTGAATTACTGTGGATTGCTACATCATTAAACCAATTTGTTTCAGTGATAAATACTAATCTTTTAGAATTGTCAAATCTACTATTAGTCGGAAGTATTTATTTCCCGTCAATCCATATTGGGGTCATTCAAAGTATATATTGTATCGTATAGATTTCCCTCTAATTGCAGTATTATGTGTGTATACTTTTGACAGAAATTTTCACTTTTAGGAGCAACTGTGTCTAAGTAATTTTTGTTTTGGATCAATAAAGATGTATGTAATGTATGTATTTATATTGTGGACATGACAATACATCACATGTTACAACTACATTTCAAATAATTGTAGTCCTGTCAAATAGATGAAAAGCAGCAGAAAGAAGAAAATAAGTTTTGTTTAAGTCCAAGTCTAAGCAAGTTATAATTCACCATTTATTTTTTCTATTCAAAGTTTGGATTTAAAAATAGCTGATGATCAAACAATGCACAATTGCATTAGTGTCAAAGGCAAGATAAAACCCACGACTCTTCTATGAACGTATTTAGCCACTTACAGTGACGAACAGTGGGTCATTCTGGACTTTACAACCCAGAGTCTGTCCAGTCAATGAGCACAGTGTTAGCAGAGGCTGAATCAGACTATCGTTGGACCAAATCAAGTGCTTTTCTGCAGACAACAGTGTGTGTGTGTGAGGGTGAAGACGTGTTTTCTCAGCGGCCAATATGCTGTACTGTGAAGAGAGTAATGGCTTGAACAGATGGGATGCTGTGTGCAAAAGAAACAAACTAAACCAAGCCACGCCCATCTCCTATTTCGCGCTTTGAAAAGGGATGAGGTGTTTGAAAATTAATATTGCAACAACTATTTGCCACTGAACACCTGTTAGGAGTCATGCTATTATAATATTCAGCAGAAGAAGAAGTAAAAAAGCGTTTCAGATGTCTAGTTTGGACAAGCAAGGTTCTGCGACTGCTGCAAATATAGACTGGATATTAAGGCTGGACAGTGCTGACCTGTTGCCACATGAGAACTGATTATTGTTGTTTTATACGGCTCCACTTTCATCAGAGACATGTCCACTGAGAAAAGATAGACTGAGCGACATGCTGCTAACATGGTTAAGGTTACGGTACACTTGTATTTATCTCTGTGTTCTCTGTACTGCCACTAGGGCCTCTGTCAGCAGTGGTAGTGGTCGGGAACCCATTTCCAGATGTTGAGGCTCTGCTTGGTCAGGACAACGAGATGTTTACCAATTGTACAGAAGTAGGGGAGATGGGAGCACCCGGAGGAAGCCTACGCAGACACAGGAAGAACATGCAAAATCCGCTCAGAAAGACACTAGATTTGAGTGTGCTAACCACTTAGCCACCGTGCTGACTTGAGGTGCACATCCGTCCTGCTTGGTGGCCACGGGTGTTTTGCCCTTGGATCCATTATAGGTTTTTTATCGGCTCCGCGCTGCTTGCTTTCGACAAACCCGGATATCCCGCCCTTCAAGACGTCAAGACTGGTCCGTGATTGGGTAGAACACCTGTTCTACCCAATCACGTTCTACCCGAAAAGCTCTACCCGAAAAGTGTAAGCGGGAGCGGTACAAGATGTATTCTCGTGTGTTTGTGAACTCACAAATACAGCGAGAATTCAGCTTGCAGGCAAGGTTAACTATTTGAACCCACACAGTGAAAGACTTACAACCTCAATATTCTTGAACTAGTGTATTACAGTTTATATAGATAGATAGTTTTGTATTGTTGTGTTATACTTAAAATGCACTTGTGTTGTGTGCTCCACATTCTTACAGTTCAGTAACTTGTAATGCAAAACTGACATGCAAAACTGACAGAACGACTCTCCTTTTAATCAGCCAGCAACAAAGTTCAAATACTGGGTAAAACAATTATCTTCACATGCCCCATTTGCATATATTTTTTCTTTGTATAGTAGAGATTTTAAAAATGTCTTGTTTTATAAAGGTTCTATAGACTGGCTTCACTTTATTTTGGCTATACGTTAATCCCAGTATTGTCTTGAACGCCCTAGATGTAACGGACCTTTTAAAGGAATCAAATCAATATTCGATAATTATTCTATTTTGACGTGAAGTCCTCAAACCTCAATTGGAGCCAATTTACACGGTTTCTCCCAGTGATCTCAGCAACACAAAACCTTCATCAAAAGGGAGCCATAATTATCCAGCGTCCTCCACAATCATTATGCCATTAGACAGACTTGGTGCAGAGTTGGTTCTGAGCAGGGAAAAACAAGTTTTTAAAATTCTGCTGATAAAAATAAATAACATTTTATATTATGAATTGCAATTCCAAAAATCAACACAATCAACAAATCTGAGACCTTTAACAATTTGGGTTAAATAGTGAAGAGGTTCATTGAGCCATTCTGTCAGCATTGAAATATGGAACCGGTGTTCTGTCGAGTTGGTCTGCCCGTCGAGATGATCTGGCTCAGCTGTTAATGATGTAATGCAAACCTGCGCATGCGTGTCTCACGGCAGCCAAAGCAATCCAAGATGGCGGACATGTAGTCCGCGAATTGCTTTAAAAGTTTAATACAAACGAATTAAGACACAAATGTCACTTTTAATGCAATTTGAGGCGAGATGTTGATGGTTCCACGTTGTGATATGTGTGTTTTAAGAGTAAGAGTTTCGTGTAAAATTTGTTTTAAGCAGTACACTGATCCTGTGAAACTACACTGCTGCTGTGTGATCGCAGTCCCTGAGTTGACTGCTGCATACGTCAGGCCCATGACGCGTCCTGTGACTGGTCTGTCGGGTTGATAATGGACAAAATAAATTACATTTTATGCATGTATCATACTGTATTCAATATGATTAATAATAGTGTGTTCAAACAAAATATTTAATTAGATTGAGTTTTTTCCCCATTCTGGCAGGTTGCTGCGCATGCAGTGTAGTTTCACAGGATCAGTGGACTGCTTAAAACAAACTTTACACAAAACTCTTACTCTTAAAACCGACATATCACAACGCAGAACCATCAACATCTCGCCTCAAAGTGCATTAAAAGTGACATTCGTGTCTTAATTCGTTCGTATTTAACTTTTAGCAGCTTTAGCTGCCGTGAGACGCGCAGTGCTGGTTTGCATTACATCATTAACAGCTGAGACAGATCATCTCGACAGGCAGACCAACTCGACAGGCAGACCAACTCGACAGAACACCGGCATACGGAACGACAAGAACTTTTTCTTAACCATTTTCATGTTTGATTCTCATTATTCTAAAGAGAACATTTTCAACATCTTGTGTATGGACAAAACAAACCAGCTCTGATGTGGAATGACTGATAATGAGTTCCCCTATGCAAATTTGCGCCTCCACAGCTGACTTCAGCAGTCTGGGTGGTGTGCGGGTATTTCAGCCACACTGTTTGGTATTTACAGAGAAAAAGACAATCAATAACTTGAGCTAAGGGACACCAGAGGGGAGAGCAAACCGTGTGGAAAGCAATTTTAGATGCACTTTTTGAAGGTTATGATGGGGCAGTTTGAGCAAAGAGGAGGCGGCTGGCTGGAGCTGGTTTTAGTGTTGTCACAATAGGGCTGTATACAAAAGATAGAGATCGCAATATACAGTTTAGTAACTTCTTGTAACTGTAACATCTTTCCAACAATATGTGAATTAAAACAATGCTAAGTTGTACACTCAATCTTCTGCAGTTGTATGTTCCAAGTTAATTTATAGAGGCAAAACTTGGAAATTATAATATTGTTCAAAAGTCCTTTTAGTTCTATAATTCAATTTATAGAGATTATGTAAAGCCTTTATTTTTCATAATGTTGATCATTGGTTCACAGCTGGTAAAACCCTCAATTAAAGCATCTTTGAAAATTAGAACACAGAATTGTGATAATTGACAGTAAGCCACAATCATCAAATTAACAATCAAAGCTTGGCATATGTCACATTACTTTTAATGAGTCTATATACATTTATTAAATACATGAACTTTTGAACCATATTCTAATTCTCAGAGTTTCACCTATATCCAAATTTCTTCATGTTGTTTGTTGATAGTGGCTGTTAGTGGCTGTTAGTACATTCTGTTCAATGTAGTCTTGCAATAAATAGCAATTATTTAAAACCCTTTTAATGAATATCCGTGCATAGATAATCATAAAATAAAGTATGGCGCACACTCTGGATATGTAATCTAACCTGAGGTTTTCTGCAATACCCAGTCCCTGAATCTCACAATTCTTAAAACTCAACATTGATAGAACACTAAATAGACTAAACATCTTATTCAGTTATAATATTTTTAGAATATGTAGATAGAATATACACCTGCAGGTTTATCACGCTCTTTTCCCTACAGTGGTAACATCCTGAAATTATGATCAAACCACAACTGGACTGAGAATCAGACCAGAATGTAAAAAAACAGGTAAATCGCCCAAATACAACAATCCTGACAAACTACTACATATAATAATATTGATTATGGGGGTCAGTATGGGGCCAGCATAGGGGCCAAGTACAGGGGCCAAGTATTATTGCTAATATGAAACAGTGGCGTTATAGATGAAAACCTACCATCACCATGTTCTAACTGTGTGGACTTACATCGCTGATTTGTTGCTGTGTTTTCTTGAGTCTTTCCATCTCTGGTGTATCTGTGACTACGCTGTAGCCTTTTCCTTTACTCTTCTCAAAGTCCTGTTTGTAGAGAACCTGCAAAACAAATACATCACATCAGAATGAATGAATTCTAAAACAAGAGACGTATCAAATCAGTCACAAAATGTCAAAAGGTAATCTTTTTGTTGTACTGACAAAAGAGGATTAGTATATAAGACTACAGCAGTAGGGAGCACAACATTTGTTTTCCTATTTATTGGAAAATAGGACAAAATACAGAGAGGTCAAATAAATCGACTCGAAATAGAATATTCAGAGAAACATTAGTTACGTTGCTGAATCATTGTACTGATTCTGTAGTAAGTGTTGATCAAATGTCAGCTGTACACAAAGTAAAAATCTAGGAGCTAGGGGTAACTAGAGAAAAAAAACATGTTGATTAAAAAAAGAAAATGTCATGTATTTAGGCTCTATAGTCAACTATCATCCATAATAAAACTTTTGTCATGTATTTGGGCTCTGTGGTTCATAACAAACTAGCACAAACATAACTAGGCACAATTATTTTGGTTGTACTTTTTACTACATTGGTATCGTTATAGGTTCATTGTTTTTTTTTTTACTGACTTGCTTGACATCAATTGTCAACAAATTTAGGGCCTCAACACATTTATGTTAAAAAAAGACAAGCAGAAAAGACTAGCCATGTACTGAGCCAGACTCTTAACTTCCCACAATGGCCTTCATCTTGATAATCCAAATCTGCTGATAATCAAGATGATATCACAGTTATTCTTGGCTATGCTTATATATGTTGTGCTTCTAAAGGCTTAATATGTCCACTTTGAAGTTCACTAAACTAGCTTTAGGCAGAGGCGTATTGTGTCAGCAAACAAGGTAACATTTAGCTGCTGTTGAGGCAACTCTTCCTGTTTGATAGGACATTTAAGCATCTAGCATCTCCAAATATGGTCATGTAAGAGGTATGACACTGTGTGCAGTGTGTGTGGTTTTTGGGCCATCCTGAATCGGGACGGGGAGGAAATGTCCACCCAACAGCCCGAGATGAGTATCAGAAATTACAACGAGCCAACTCAGAGCTGATGTGCAGTAATCTAATCCATGCCGTATTTGCAGTTTCACAGACTAAAGAGAAAGCTGTGGGATATTTTAAGCGTTATATTAAAGCTGTGGTGAGCTACAGGAAGTAATGAGGAGAAGGGTCAATATGCAAGAGTTTAGAGAGAAAAACCATTGAAAAGTCAAAAGGGTACTTCAGTATATTAATGTATTGCATATGTTACTGATAGATCTGTAGTCATGATTATTACAAACCGCTCATATGTCATTTCTGGCTAAAAACAATTGGACTAATGTTTGTAATGGGGGTGGGCTATAGCTACTTTCGCTATAGCCTGCTCGCTTTGAACCGTTTGCATATATTGTCTATTACATTGCATTGTAACATGTTCTTGAATAAAAAGGAATGAAGTGAAGTTATGATTTCAGCCTCTGCTATAAAGCCTATTGTTTGAGTCTTTCCAGTGAAACGGCCTTGGGTTTTTATGCTGTAATCTTTTTTACAATGGCTCTTGGCTACAGTTGAGTTGACTAAAGCATGACAGTCCTCCCATTACTCCTCAACTACAGCACTAGCAACAACCTGACTTAACAAGTGGGTCAAATGAAGTCATTGGTATGAAGCTCAAAGCAAAATTACAGTGTATATTTAAATAATAAAGTGCATTTAAATAAAACCCTCTGACAAGATTTCAGTTTGTAATACATTTGACAGAAAAGTGAACCCATCTGTAAAGTTGCGCATAACAAAACAATGAACTTTTTCAAAAACATTCAAGAGATTATTGTCTCACGTTTTGTGGGTAAAGAAAAAAGTCAAGCAAAACGTCTGAGGAGAGTGATGATCCGGGACATTTATGGACTATGGACCAATGATTCTTATGTGTTTTTCATGATTGCATTTCCAGTGCTCTATTGTTTGACTCTTTTATAATCTGTTATTGGTTAAATGACAATTGACGACTGCTGTTGTAATTAAGGGCTATACAAAAATTATTGGGAGAAACTGAATTAATATTTTCTTTCACTTTTGAACTATTGACATTTTCAGACATCTTGAGGCATAGAATCTTGAAAGAATGAAAAAAATATCTAATAATGAAACTGTATTTTTCCTCTATATCGCAAACTCCACCGACATTGGCCTATGCTCTACTGTGGAGCTGTGTGCGGTTATGACGCGGGTATGAGTCATTCTGCTCATGTGCTAAAAGCCGTTCAAGGCCTTTGTTCACAGCAGTCAACAGCGACATAAGCTACGATCAGCAATTAGGAAAACTATGAACTGCTTTATACAGAACTATGGATATTGAGTCAGGGCACTAACTTAAAACAGGTTTAGACAATCCTTGTTTTGTATACAATAAACAAGTATTTATAATAGGACACCGACATTTTATATATATACAATTTATTTTGAAGAAGGAACGACTTCACGTTACATACCAGCAGAAAGAATGACAAATTTATAGATTAAAAAATGATTATTGAAATATTTGTATATAAAAAAGGAGCTGAAATTATTGTAGAATGTCTTGAAAATATGCTAAAAAGAAAGAAAAAAATATTAATTTTGATTAATCTAAGAACTTCTATGAGTGCGTTTACAAATATCTAGTCAATTATCAAATCCCGAGACAAATCTGACCATTATTCAAAAAAGGTACTAAAAAGATCCTTTGTGGATATTTAAGGAAGTCTCTCCATTACTGGGTACAGTTCACTATAAACAGGATGATTGTTCAAGCGGAAGTTCTCCAACAGTTCCCGAATCAGAAATGACAAGTCTCATCGGACTTTTAACCAAAAGTTTAAAAAAAACATAATGTGACTGATGTGTATTAAATTGGTGCAACAATACAATTATAAATGTGTGAATACGTGTGCATGTGAGTAAACTATAACCTAAATATGATGGACAGGACAAAAAAGACAAGAAACCAGAAGACTTGGGAAGAAATAATCGTTTTTTTTTACCATGCTACATTGTAAAAGGCTGTATTGTTATGTTTGTCAAAAGTATTATGGAAAGCAACATTATCACAATTTTAGAGTTGCAGATTAAGTTTGTTCCAAGCAATTGTGGCGCTGCTTTCGGGGAAAACAGCATCTTAAATATTATATGTGCAACTAACACCAGTATCTTTTATATATACATGTTTTGGTTATAGGTTATAGGGCGACAGTAGCTCAGTTGGTAGAGCATTGGCCTTTGGGCCTGAAGGTCGTGGGTTCGAGCCCACCGTAAGACCTACTTCACGACTCCCACTGATGACTGCTGTCGTTGTGTCCTTGGGCAAGACACTTAACCCCACTTTGCCCAAAGCCCCAACTGAAAGATCTCAGCTCCTGTGGACTCACCACCTGCAGGAGGATCAGTGAGGGGCTGGTGCTCTGTGTACTGGGTGCAGCTCTGACTGCCACCCCCCCGACCCAGAAATGGATTAAGGGGAAGAAAATGGATGGATGGATGGATGGATGTTTTGGTTATTATCAAATATTGAAACACACGCACAAGGAAACCATCTCACAAGATCAAACCACATGCGTGCACTTGTGGCCCAAGATCTTGTCGTGAACCCCAGCACACGGAATGCATTACGCAACAATTTATAAATATTGTAAACTGAAGGTCTTTATGTCGCTCATACTGTATTGGGTCCCCACATGTAATGCAGACAGCACCATATCAACATTTAAATTTGTTTTTTCTGCTATTGAATTTCTCCTAAGGGGATCAATAAAGTATCTAACTAACTAACTTTGCACAAATGATGAATTGAAACAACTTATAAGCCAGTAGCCAGTTGCCACATGTTTAAAGGAATAGTTCACCGTTTTTACATACTGACATATGTTCTTACCTTACCTTAGACTAGTTAATACGTACCTGTCTGGTCTTAGTCCGTGCGCTCTGTCATGCAAACGGAGCAAAAACGGGAGCACAACCGCAGCCTCCTCTGTATATTTTGTAGCACCAAAAGGTAGCTCCCGCTAGAAGCTACCAAACTCTTCCAAGTGTTCCCTATTAAATGTATATAGTTACGTGACGTGTTACATTTCTGTGTTACTATACTTTGCAGTGTAACAGTCGATTTTCTCAGCGGATAAAACGGGTACTATATTGTGAGGGGTAGTAATCTGAGGAGCGCTACGTCCGCGCACTAACTTCTCTCCGGAGACTTCTCTCTCGCTCACTTCCGTCAATAGAAGCAGCGTGACTTGTAATACACACAGTAGCAGCGAGAGAGAAGTCTCCGGAGAGAAGTTAGTGCGCAGAGAAGTTAGGAGCGCTACGTCCGCGCACTAACTTCTCTCTCCTGCTACTGTGTGTATTACAAGTCACGCTGCTTCTATTGACGGAAGTGAGCGAGAGAGAAGTCTCCGGAGAGAAGTTAGTGCGCGGACGTAGCGCCCCTCAGATTACTACGCCTCACAATATAGTACCCGTTTTATCCGCTGAGAAAATCGACTGTTACATTTCTGTGTTACTATACTTTGCAGTGTAACACGTCACGTAACTATATACATTTAATAGGGAACACTTGGAAGAGTTTGGTAGCTTCTAGCGGGAGCTACCTTTTGGTGCTACAAAATATACAAAGGAGGCTGCGGTTGTGCTCCCGTTTTTGCTCCGTTTGCATGACAGAGCGCACGGACTAAGACCAGACAGGTACGTATTAACTAGTCTAAGGTAAGGTAAGAACATTTGTCAGTATGTAAAAACGGTGAACTATTCCTTTAAATTACAAAACAGTATGCGATAAAAATACATTAAACTTAAACAATTTGGGTCTATCACTTGTGTATGTGTGTATTTTTGGCCTCTGTCACACTTAAGATCAGCTTATAAAGACAGACAAAAAGAGGACCACTCTGTAAGTGCGGACAAATCAAACCACAACACGCATCTATTTAGACTATTTGACAAAGCCAGAAAATTACCTTTGAAGTTTCTTGTCAAGCCTTTCACAGCTGTTCTTTTATCACACAAAACACGATATAAATGCACGCTGTAAATGCTCTCCCATAAAATGTATTATTTAAACTATTATGAAAAAAATAAGTAGATATAGTAATTTTTGTAATAGTCATTTCCAAGACATTATAAACCAAAAGGTGTATCCCTCTGGCACAAAGTTGAGATAAATTCAAATAAAACAATTCAGCCAGTGAAGTTTATAATTACCACTTTATGTTCCTGACTTTCATTCATTCAGATTTTACTGCATCAACAACAACTGCACTGAGCTCCCACTCATTAGAATCTGCTTCTCATATTTGCATTCCTGTAACAGCGTCTCCCTCTGTCCTCAGGGGGATTTTGGACTTTTATCTCTGCTTTTCTGCGCCGCTGCCTCGGGTCTCTCCTTCACCTCCTTCTCCATCTCCGTCATTGCTCCATTTCTCCTCGTCTGTTTTTTTTCCTCCCTCTTTTCTCTCTCCTTCTCGTTTTGTGCTCTGAAAACGTCTTGTAATGAGGTGTGACAGGCCTGGAGCCGGCTGCCATGGCAACAGGGTCACAAAGTAGTTCCCCAAATAAACAACTTCTGCATGAGGTGGACAGTGCGGGAGGAAAAAGACTTGTGGTTAAGGGCGTCGTGATTATAAGTGACGATGGAGATTGTTCTGGCTCTTGTAAAGTCTATTCTATAAGCGCAAAGATTTATGAAGCGCTTAATGATATTTCGAAATACAAGGTTGCAGGTTGTGTTCATGTTGTAGGATTATTTTTCAGTTGGAGGGCAGGTGCCAAGACAGAGAAGGATTTTTTTAAAAGAAATGCTGAAAAATATTTGTTTTTCCTGATCATTATTTGATAGTGACTAGATTCACAAACTCGCCATATCATTTGTATATCTTTTCTAAGTTTTTTAAATTATGTCACCACTTTTAGGTAATTTGACCATAGTTGATATTTACTGACAAAGAAGATGTGAAACTTTGTGTTTATTTCATGTGGTTTGGCATGAAATTAGCTCTAAACTAAGACTACCACATACTGTAGTTCAGATCAGCTGTCCTCCACCAAAATATTAAAATATGGGCTTTTTAGAAAATTGTGATGTCACATGAATGCAAACTATCAGAGGGGCAGTGTTTGAGGCCAATTACAGATACCTATCATCTTAGATTTGATCACTGATATTGAAATATCACTGAAATATTTATCATAAATAAAGCGAAACTAATAACGCTGAAGGAAAAAACAGTTTGGCTTGTGTTACAAACAAAATTCAAAACTAAGTATTTCAATTCAATATTAGACGAGGATACAGTTTTGCATGTCCTCTGCGGGAAATCACCAATCACCGCCCCTCCAATCATCGTTTCCTACACTACATGCTTTCATTTTATAAAGCAGCAAAGTTTTCACTGAGTGACAGTGTTGCCATGGACACTCAAACAACGTGGGAGGGGCTAAGCAGAGATGCAGTAGAAGGGAGACGGAAGCAGATGGTGACTGAAGTGCAGTCCCACTGATATGTGATCAACCTATGTTTTAGCTGCGAAATCCCCACAGTACAAATAGATGTGGTTTAAGTGAAGTTGGAAAGATTAGATTGTGTGCTGCACTTGTTGGGATCGGTCACGTGCCAGAAGCAAGCCGAATTTGTGCCTTATAACCATGGATAAAAGATTGAAGAAGAGATCGCTGAAGAGGCTCTGTGGTTTATTTTATGAGGGAGAGTGAAAACCCATGCCCACTGAAGCCACAAGTCCTCGATTTGACCCTTCTCAATATACTCTGGTCACTTATGACATCAGATCAGAGCAAAACTATACAATGTGCTTATATAGTTATAATCTTCCACAAGTAGCTATCATTATTTTAATCAAATTTATTGTTGTATAGCTTTCATTCACAACAGCTATCATCTAGGAGGACTTTACAAACAACAGATCAGAGAACCAGGAAATGCAATAATAACCAACACATAGGAGCCATAGGTCCAAAGGAGGCGGGGTGACCGATGTCTATAAATGATCCTAAATGTAGATTATAATATTTCAAAATGATTAAATAAAGTGGGTTCATTCACTTCAAAAACTGTTGTAAAAACCATACACAAAAAACCCAAACAAACAAAGGCATAGCAGCAGGTGCTTGAGAAACGTAAACTAACTCAAATATTAACAAAAATAAATAAATAGACAAACAGAAGTTAGTGGCTGTGTACTGGTGGCATTAAAAAGCAGGGATCACCGCAGCAAGGTGAATTGAGTGCAGGAAATCACGTATCAATTAGAGAAACCTCACAGAATCCCTATATAACAATACAACTATATCTAATGTCAAATGTCGGCTGTTTCCATTGCTTTAAGGTGGACGAAAAACATGTAGGTCCGATGTAGGAAAAACACCATCTGTGACACAATCCCCCCAACTGAGAATCCCCCCACCCCCACCCCAGCGGCCCACGACAGACTGCTCCCATTCACTGATGTGACATCTGACAGTGACGGGCCAAAACACAGTTGTCAGTGATGAATTTAGTTAAAGGCGGCATATTGTGCTTTTGTCTGCTATGATCTATGACATGGATCTATTAATAAGCAATATTTTGAACGGCAATATTTATCGTTTTAGGCTCCTACAAAAGGTTAGATACAAACAAACGCCTCTGATTTCGCCTGAATTTCTCTTACGGGGATCAATAAAGTATCTATCCATCTATGATTTAGGAGGTGGTCAGCTTCTATGGAAATTTATAGTTAAAGTTAGGGTATGTTACTTTCAAAATACAGAAATGTGTTAATAATTTGATAAAATCCATGTTTAATCGTTCTGTCTTTTCTATCACTAGTTTTCACACGCATGTATAGTTTGGTTTCTGTCACATCTCTGCTGAGAGAAGTGAAAAAGAGGACCACCCTCTCTCAGCCAATCAGCTCTCACCCCTAAGTGTCTACTAATGACTAACAGGGATCCTTTTTTTGTTTTTTGTTTTTTTAAATTTAAAAACATCTTACTTTTAGAATCCTTCTGTTGGGACATATGTTGGATTTAAGAGAAAAAAAAAAGTTAGGGAACACCGTGAAAAGGTGAAAGGAACAATATTTTCGAGGAAACAACCAAGATGATGCTGTAATCCAGGACAAGTACAGGTCAGGAATGTGGAGATGCAAGCATGAATATTTCCATCCTTTTACCAATGCAATTAAAATACCAAAATAGGAATAAATTAGGGCTGAAAGAAAAGCAAAAAAATTGGGACACGGTTTTGGTTCTGAAAAGTATCTCACTTCACAACTTGACTTATAAAAAGCTGTTCTCATGACCCACTTTGTAAAGATATTTTTAACTTTCACCTCATAATATCGTCACGTCGACTATTTCTGCAGCAGTAGTAACCGTGTTTTGTGGATTATTACAAAAGGACAGATTTTATAGGAGACAAGTCCCAAAGGCCACAATCAGGACAGAATACACCTTACCTCACTATTCATTCACTACTCGATGTTGAAGTTAGCATAAACAAGACTAGACCAGCGGCATTTTCAAAGAACATTCAGTCAATTACTATCATTGTAACAGCATTTATTTACAAGACAGGTGCCAGATAAAGCACTAAACTTATATCAGAATGTGCAATATACTGCTGCTAATGTACAGATGTAAACACACTGCTGCTAAAATTTACAGATGCTAACATATAACTACACTTTGATTGCACTGGAATAAACTTTATACTTGCCTCTTATTGCCAAATGTTAAACTTTTACACCTCTTTTATTATCATTTTCAAGATAGGGATTTCATACTTGTTATTTGATGCTAGAGATAGAGATTTGGTTTTATCTTAATTATTATACCTATTGTTCACTTAAAGCTGCACTAACTGACTTTGGGATTTTGAAGCCGCGGACTCGCTGGCCTCGCTCTTTCTGCTCCCCTCCCCGCACCCACGAAGCTATCGCCCCCACACACACTCACTGTTGTTGACGGAGCTAGCGTCTCCCAATATGGATAATACATGGATATGGATTTGCACGTGGATGGCGTGACCATAGAAAGATATAACCGGGAAGCGCGGAGGAATGGGACTTTCTTTTGGATGGCTGTCTCGCTGTGTAAGCAGTAACCGGTGACGAAGACGAGGAAGCTTCAGGTTAGCTCCGCCGCTTGTTGTGCTAACTCAGCCGTCTATGCTAACGGACCTGTACATTTCTCACAAAAGTGGGGGCTAGTGGTCCGCTGTGATTGGTCACAATCTGCGACCCAAAACACATTCTCTTCCTTGTTTCATCAAAACTCGATCTAAAATATAATGTCATGCCAGTACAAATCTGCGCTACTTTTTCTTCAAAAGGACGTATATCTCAATGCTCTGCATGGACATGGATAGCACTTTCGTAATGAATACGAAAATAAAGTCAGTTAGTGCAGCTTTAACTTGTGCTGTGTGCTCCTCTTTCCTACTTTTCTATAACTTGTGATGCAACACTGAAATTTCCCCACTGTGGAACGAATAAAGGATCTCTTAATCTTAATCTTAAAAGTATGGATGGATAGATGTAGACCTTTCACTCCAATTTCCAGATTATGCTCCAGAAAATAGTGTAATATTGAAACTACTTCATGCCACTGACACAAGTACAATGTAGCAGGACAATTCCAGTAAAGTACTCTTTACATTTATAAATTTCTTTAGAAAGCATTAGCTACAACAATAAAAGCAGAACTAAGTCATATTTAGCCATAATCTACCCTCTGGAGCTTAAATGTGATCGCTTTACTTAAAAAATTAAGACCAAAATATATTGTTTTGTCCATCAGTTATTAAACCCAAAGTCGATGTAGTGACGGGCCTGAGATGGATGGACATCGAAAGTATTACATTTCAGATATGAGTAAAATGTTGTTTAGTGTGTATTCTGAGCTCATTATAGATGCAGAACAGGAAATTGTGTATTTTACCTGGCTCTGATTCTCCGACTGCGCTTTGAGACGGAGATTCTCTGGAGTATCAGCCACCACAGTGAATGATGTGCTGGGGTAGTGTCTGCAACAAACACAGAAATATCATTATTATTACATATTCTAAAATACAATTCATACTAAAACCGTTTCAAAACACAAGCCACAAGTGCAACGCTGCGGCCCCACACACAGTCTGTTATGTGAGGTGGTCCTGGGGTTGGGTTAGAAGCCCCTATGGACAAAATGGGCTGTCAGGAACACACTTGATGCAATGTCAGTGCAAGAAACGGGACTTTGAAATCAGGAACTTTGAAATCAGGGTGAAAATCATAAGACTGTAATGCAGGCAGAGTGAATGGGGTTAGTACACATGACATGAAGTGAGGAGGTGAGGGAAAAGGTTTGCAAGTAATATTTGGAATACACTAGGATGGGAAATATGTATCGACACTGGAGCTGCAACAAACAATATTTTGGTAATTGATTGATATTTTTTATTTGTGGTTTATAACGTAGATCAGTTTGACCCCAATCTATCATTAAACATTTACACAATTCCTAAGACATTTACACAATTCCTAATTTTTGTTATAAATTTACTCCCCTGTTTGTGTTTCAGAATAAGTTTGTATAAAGAGTAGTTCACGATCAATCAATGAAAAATCTCCAATCTCCAATTATTCCATGTTGTGTGTTTATATCTGTAAAAGCTCTAGTTTTTATGTCTCTAATTTTTCGAAGAAGTTAATTGTTCCCAATGAAGTAAATTATTGCATACATTGATACTTGTAGGTCTAGATATAATATGAGAAAGTTTATATTTAATGCTCAGGTCAATGACCAAAAACCTAAAAATATTTGGAAACTCTGAAAAGAGGAAGTCCATCTAACCAGTTCCCACTATTGGTATTTTCATGAATCTTGCAAACAAGCAGAGCCATAGAGCAGTTTTTATACACACAAGTCAAATCGGAGTGGATTACCCCTGCAGCAGCCAATAGGCTCTTAGTCCAAATAGTCAAACAGTGACTTAGACGGCTCTTCCTTCCAAGTACGCAACAATCAAACAATTTATAAATAGAGCAGACTCCTATTTTTCACAAACTATGGCGTTTCCATTACATTTACATTACAATACACTTTCTCAAAGGAAAAACGGAATTAGAGAGAACAAAGCTGCTCTTTTGTTGGAGGGTCGTATAATTATATATATATATATATATATACAGTATATATAGATCATGAACATATTGTATGCAGCTTTGTGCACAGCATGCAGACAGAAGTACAGGCGGTTCTTTGGTAAAGACAGAAAAACAGGAAGTCCACACAACAGCACACTGGTCACACACAGACAGCGGGAGAATGATGTCATGGGCCATGGCTCTGGGTCTCAATGAATTGTGGGAAATCTCGCTGGGACCACCTCCTGCTCAGCAAAACACAACTCCTGCAACAAATAACATACAGCAGTGGGCAAGATTATGACACCACTCTACTCACAAACAATATACTGCCACTTTAATAACGGGATTTACGTTTGCATAATGGGGTCTTTTAGTGTGTCTGAAATGTTACGCAGTATGGTAGATTCGTGTTTTCAATATCCGGTGTCCTTATTGCCCTAAAATGGGACAGTCTTCATGATAATGAGACAGACTTCTACTCTGACAATGTTTAACTACAGGTTCTGTTTAGCTCTGCATATTATCGATATGCATTTGCCAAGTATCAATATTGAAAAAAAAAAATATATATATCCATCCATCCATCCATTTTCTACCCTTTAATCCATTTCTGGGTCAGGGGGGTGGCAGTCAGAGATGCCACCCAAGTCTCATAGCACCAGCCCCTCACTGATCCTCTGCAGGTGGTGAGTCCACAGGAGGACGGCTGCTCTCTGACTGTGAGCATAGCCTTGATCTTTCAGTGGGGGCTTCAAAAAAAAAAATATATATATATATATATATTTTTTTTTAATTAGTATCAATACCTAATATATGGCTACATTACACATCTCCATTCCATTTATCATGAAGTGTATTTTTTCCACTTAATATTCTATTTTATGTATGCCATATATTGGCATATGGTATATTGCTGACCAATATATCGATAATCGTGATATCGTGATATAATCGTTATCGTGAGCTTTGTATCGCGTATCGTATTGTGAGGTACCATTAGGTTCCCACCCCTACAACTGAAGGATTGTATCTTAACTCTTTTTAATGTACACTGATTGTTTATGATTTGAATGCCTTGTATTATTTTAATGTCTTACTTGTTTTATTAGTGCTATACTAATAAAACTTGCCTTGCCTAAAATGATGCAAAATACATTCATTTGTGCTGTAAGCGGCAGTATTCTCCACGACATGTAACTTGGCATAGTATTATTAGCAAGTCTTTCCAGAAATGTTTACAATTATACAGTGGAAGATTTCAGGCAAAAAGAAAAAAAAAACTGATTTTAAGTTAATGCTAGTTGAGCCATCTGCCAAGTCTGCAGGAGAGTTAGTCAACATTGCACATAAATGAAAAGCCTGAACATTATCACAGCCATACACAACATGATGATTCACAAAGTCAACATTTTAACAGAGAAATCTTTGAGCAGTGCCATCTGATAATCCTTGCACAAGTAGGAATAGATTCTGTAAATAAATGAAAGGTTTCGTACACGGGTTCGAATCTCAGGGAACAAACTTATCTCATCCCTTTTATAACGCACCACATCAGAGATAGAAGTGTTTGGGAGAGTGTTTCAATATAACAGTAATATAACAGTGTGTCAGATTGGGTAAAAATATTGACCTTGGCTGTTTAGACCAGTCCTTGTAAAATGCATAGAAATATTCAGTGGCAATGTCTCCTCAAATGTTTGCTAAAAACAAGTACAGGATAGAATTTGAAAGATATCTTTTTCTCCACCTCACCAGTACCATTAGATATTTGTGTAAATACAGTCTATGATACATACGCACTGGGGCTGCATGATTCATCAGAATTGAAATGTTTGTGGTTGCAATCAGGTTATTTTCAAAAAAGGAAAATAAATAAGAAAATAAATCTTGATTTAAATTGTCAACACAACAACCAAGCATCTTTGGAAGCATTTTCTCATTCCAAATCTCAAAATATTCATAATTCATAAAATGTCAAATAGTAAAAACAACTCAGATCTGACTATGTGAATATTGAGAGAAAAGATACTGCTGTTTAAATATAAATCAGAAGCAAAATCTTGTTTTTCTGCTACAAGAAATGGTCGTACAATAGGTAAAAACTAAACTTAACTGAACAATTTTCTGAACTGGATGAGGTAATCCCTTCATACGTACACTTTTTCAAATGGAACTCAAGAAGTTGATAATGTTTTATGTGAAAAAAGGGAGTTTTAACAAAAAAACATCAAAAATTGCAATGTAATCACAATTTTAGTCCAAATATCCAAAATAGCTAAGTTGTATAGCCATTAGCCATGATACCCACATTATTTGGTCATTGTTATTGTGTCTTAAGAACGGTCCCTCACGAAGTCTAATAATAGAACTATTGTCAATTAAGGTCTTGAATTTTGCAAAAATATTGAGCCTGCTGCTATCCACTTTAAATATTAAAGTTAAAAGGGTCAATGAACAGAAGATGCCCCCTGAATGCCTGTTCCAGTCTCCTGCTTTATCGACTGATTCAACTAGAGTCAATGGTGTGATGTAAAGTGTGAGTCAATGAACCAATTCACTTAAGCCTTTATTTACTGCTCAGATGCACAGACGGTGGTGCTCTGTGAAGACCCCGTTTCACATGGACAGTAGTATTCCGCCGGAGGGATGGGGAGGGGTGACCTCAAAACGCTCGCCTCTGGGAGGAACCCAAACAACCACAGTTCTGGCAACATGAGATTAGCAATTACAATGAAGTGATTATTCATCAATTATACAGCTTCAAGGCACACACTTAATAATCTTTAATAGTATAGATTATCTTTCTATGTTTTGTGACACTTTAACTGGACGAATTAACAGTCCTCCTGCAGCCACAGATCTCCCTCAGAGAGAGAAAGTGCAGTGAAAGGGTTTTACCTGCTCAGACAGCTACACTCTAAACCTGTAATAACCAAAGTCCTCATTTGCTCTAGACACAGTTCACAGTGAACACATGACCTTCAAACCATGGGCAGCGGCTAAATCTGCCAAAACACTCAGTATCTTGCTTTAATAGAACATTATAAAGCCAATAATAACGTAATCAAAGCCCTAATAAGAATTGGAGAAGTATTAAAAGCAAATTTGAGTCCTCATCAAGTTGCATTTGTTTATTGACAAAATTGCTCAAGGTTAATATTAGTGGATGTGCTAAAAAAAAAAAAACATAACACATTTTTACACACATAACTGATATGTTTTAATTAGATACAATAATGATTTTATTTTAATGTTTTCCCTTTGTTGGGGGAAAAATATTTTGACATAAATAGTCATCAATAAAAAAATTTAAAAACTCATCAATGTTGTATTTTTGTTATAACAAGAGGGAGGATGGTTGGATCAACAGCCATTATTTTTAATGTTTAGCCATCTTATGTAATTACAGGAACGTAGAACCCCTTATTTAAAAAAAAACACATTTAAAATTTGCCATTACAGTCCTGTGATCTTGTTCAATTAGGACGTTTTTGAGATTTATGTTGGGAAATAATAACATCTCCCATCACTGTAGGGTGTGTCAGTTTGTGGTTTTCCTTTTCGGGAGAATATCTGAAGTTCGCCTTCTTTTCTCATGCAGGGGGCGGAGTCAACTACCCCTCACAACTCTCCTGAAATAGCATCTGTGTGTCATGCATTTTGATGGACAATCGAGTCTTACATTTGACTTTCTGAATCAGCCAAAAACCCTCGATAGTACGCCTTCGTGTTTGCAGTCCCAACAGAGGCGCAGGCAGGAGTCAATGGGATCCTGCGTGTCTAAATGCTTTCATAACTTTCTTGGAGCGAGTGAGTCACTATACAACACTCATCTCTATCTGACAAAGCTGTGCAGCAAGGCCATGATTCAAGCAGTGACACATACAACACTTCTGTAGGGGGGAAAAAAAAAACTCCATTTGAAGGGAGGGGCACAAGTACTCACAACAAGAAGACACACTGTTCATTTCCCGGGCTTCTTTATGTGGAATTTGCATGTTCTCCCTGTGTCTGCATCGCTTTCCATAGAGGTCAATATTGGTGGGGCGTATCCTTTAGTTCAGGCTTGGGTTTTTGGGAACGCCAAATATTACTATCGAAATATTACTGAGATATTTAAGTGAATGTAAGATTTTTTTCCCAACAAGCACATATTCTCACCCTCTTTGCGTCCTGATTGGATTGAATTCTGAAAATATATCTGGAGGTATTTAGCAAAGGACAGGAACTATGTTTAATCTGTTATTGAAAAATACTTACTTTACAAAACACTACATTGTGTTTCTTTCTTTTGGTACATTATTTTAAAATAGAAATATAATTGAAGTTGCTGACATCAGTTATCAATAATAAAAATATAATCTGTTCTAGAAAAACATGATTTTACCTTTGATAATATTCTCCAAATCACAACTCCAATCGTTGTATGTCATATTTTATGAGATTTTGCAGAAATAAACAATTTACTCAATTTACTTAGATATTTTGATATCTATAATACAAGGTATGTTTTATTTTGTTGTACTTTTCACTGCTTGAATTGGATTAAAAGGGAAGAAATATCAGTTACTGGGAAAGAGCTCAGAAAATGGCAGTTTATTTTACTCACTGAAGAAAAACATTTACAAACGTCCTCGTCTAAAACTAGATGCACTCGAAGTGAAGTTTATTTGATCCTCACTTATGTTAAACAAACACATCTATCCACATTAAACAACTCTGAAGTAGAGGCTTCTGCTGCCAGAGGAAAAACAAAAACCCAAAGGCATTTTAATGGTAGTGGAGTGGAGAGCAACATGATGGATGGAAAAGAAAAGTTAATCATTATGAAAGCTAGAGACAACTAAATGGTGGTTCTCACACTGATGTATGTGAATAAACATCACGTAAATACAACTACAGCATCACATTTAGTATAGTAGCAGACAATATTAAATCAAATGTGGTTATATAAAGAGTTGTGATGTAGTGAAGGAGGATTGATTGTGATTGATGCAGTACCTGAACAAAAATTATTGAATCTAATGGGTTTTATAAGAAGGAAATAAGATACACAGCACATTTCATATATAAATTCAGCCCAATGAGCCTGATGGAGACACAAAAGAAGACAGTGAATGAATAGAGACAGATCCAAAAGCCTGGGAGGAAAAAAAGGCAAGTTTCATTATATTCAATTTATAAGGACCAGAATGAGAGAAAGCAGCTTCTCCTAGTTTTCGTTTTACACAAGGAATGAAGAGGAGGTTGCGAAGTGAGGATTCAGGCACGTAAAATCTGAAATATAAAAAAAGGTGCCAGGCATAAGGGCAGAAGGGAGGATTTTGAAGTAAATCTGGGTCTGATACAAACTGGGCCAAACAATTATATATATATTTTTAATAGGGAGTAATTTGATGTATTTTTATCAGAATGAAGCATGTCATTTTTAGAATCTGTTGTATCTTTTAGAACAGTTTTTAATGGCAAAAAAGTGATAAAGGACCATTCACTCTCAGCTCTCATCCCAAAAGCAACAAATAGTGACTCCCTGGGATCTTTCTCACAAGTATGCAAGATAAAATGTATTCTAATTAGATGAAGGCAACATGTTTTGGACGGACTTGTTCAAAATGTTTTACAAATCTTATTCAATAAAAAGTTAGGTTTTTGATATAATTATACACATAATATTACACCATACTAGTTTATATCACTCTAACCCGTTCATTACTAGTCAAAATGTATGTGCTGCTGTGCAAGTTCCAACCCAATATAGGCCTCTTGTCAGCCTCCACTGGTGTTTATCTGCTCCTCATAGGCCAAAACGTGCTCTGGGAAAATGCACATCCCCTCCCTGGGTTTGCTTTTCTGCACGGGGGCCATTAACAAAGGAAATTCCTCAAGTTCCTGTACAGTGACACTACGAGCCGAGGTCTGTGGAAACTGCATGTTGCATAGCTCACTGGGAATCTGCGGGATCCCCCCCAAAAATGAGCGCGCAATAACAACGAATGTGAGAGCCATGAGGAGCAGGCAGCGGTTAAAGTTGAGGCAAGTCCTTCAGCACATTGCTCTATGGGGAGGCCAAGAGAGTGTTGCATAAGACATCTGTTTTACATGCGGCTGTGAAAAAGTAGATTTTAGAGTTCTCGTTTGATAAACCAACGCATTTATGCAACTATTGGTTCTTCTTAAAATACATTCTTTGTGTCACAAGATGCAGTTTGTAAGTTTGTTGAGAGAAAGTAACTACAGTATGAGCGACACAAAAGACAAGGCATGGCTTGAATTTGAGTATATTATTTCTATTAAGCTCTATTTCAAACAAGGCTGGCCCATAAACAGGTAAAAAGGCAAGACAGGAACAAACAAAAGCAATATCAGTATATAGATATTGCTTTTGTTTCCATATATATTCCAGTCTGAGAACCCTGGTTCACAACTTCATGATTGGGCAAAATGTATAAAAATCCTTGCCATTGGTCAAACTATTCTCCAGCAAAAGCCCCACCTGGAAGTGGAATTGAACCAAAGACCTTTCTGGAGAAGTGAGAGCTACCCACTTTTTTTACAGCAAAGTTGATCAGGCTCTTCCATAAGTTATCACCATCTATTTTACCAATCCTTCTCAGTGTGATCCAAAAATATGAGAAAGAAATACATCTCGTTTAAGACTTATAAAGAACACATTTTAGTTGAGCAACAACTGCCAGAGCGAAAAAACCATAAACTCATGTTGGTCCTTCACAATATTCAAATGATTCAAATATATTGTGTGAAATACCATGTGTGCCGTTACTTACGCGCTGCAGTATGGTCTCTTGTTGTAGCCTTTGTAGGTCTTCATGTTTAGAGTCATTAGGCAAACCTCGCAGGTGAAGCATTTCTTGTGCCAATACTGGAAAAAAGAAAACACAAAATCCATAAGGTTATTGTTGTCTTTAAACATTTTACCAGCTTGGATTTTTAAAGGAGAGGTTCTACAACTGGTTTGAATACACAGATAGTATTGCTCTTCTTGAAAAGCATTTGTTCACTTTAATTTTCCTCTGCATTAGCCATTTCCTTCTAAATTAGATGCCCCAAAGAACAGCCATCGGTCAATTACAGGGTGGAGAATTGCCTTGGAGTGCGCAATCCAAGACAATTCTCTTCTATAAATGAATTGCTTTATAAACTTGTGCCCGACTTCTAATAAACATGGGAAGTCTTGATGTCAGAGGTAATTCCTCTTTCAAAAAAGGTTTTACGAGTTACAATGAAAAGGTGCACATTTCTGAAAGGACTTACAATTTTAATTAGACTTATATATTTATAGCAATGCGTTCTATACAGGCAGACTTCAAAATTAAATAGTATCTCTACGATCAGCACCCAAACTGTAGGAGTTAACTTTTTCTTGAATATTTAGAAGAGAAAATGTGACTCACAAGTCACTTCTGAATCTCACACTAATTTCTCCCATATCTGTTCCGTTCCATACCACCCTCATGGTCCATAGTGACTAAAAACATATTCATATATTGTCATTGAGATAATCTGAAAAAATATTGATGCACTTAAATCTAAATTCAATGCTGTCCCAACTCCCTGCCTTTTCCTGTGTCTGCTGTCACACTGGCTTTGGTTCAACACACTCCACTGCTCATCTGCCCTTTCCGTTCCCAATAGTCTTTTCATGGTTCCATCTTGAAAGTTCAAAGTGCTGGAACAAGCCATTAGCACATTAGCATTAGCAGGCAAGGGACATAAAAGAGGCGCGGAAGACGCAAGGGATGAGAGAACGAAGTGAGAAGTGATGTGAGAGCAAGAAGAGGATTAGAGAGAATAAAACAAAACCAGAGATGGAGAGAGTCACAGAATGTAGGCCGTCCTTGACTAAATGCGTTGGTCGTCGAGTGGGACTGATTGAGAAAACTCTATGCAAGGTCCTCGATATCCTGTTGGTTGGACTGATGTTGAAAATTGCTACGTCATTATTTTTATTACAGCACCAAAGAACACAACAGCACAACGGAATTCCATGCTCACATTGGAAGAATTAGTTTTAGAGTATCTGCAGCTCAGCGGAGTAAAAGCCTTTATGCAGTGATTAGCTCATGAGAAAGTCAGCAGTTTATGATGACTTCATGGTGTTTAAAAAGCATTGTGTACACAGTTCACTGTATAACATCTTAACATTGTGAGTACAAGTTATATGACTAAGGTCTGTATCAAAAACAAACCAAACGCAGGTGTCGTGGTGCTGCCAATTTCTTAAGATGAGTAACCGGTCCTATAAACCAGTTGCCAACTGAAAGGCCGAAGGATCCTTCTGATTGGGACATGAGCAACTACACTGCAAAAAGTAATGTAGATTTAGAAAGAATAACGAGATATCTCTCCATAAAGCAAGGTTGTATACTTGTGCTACCCCAACACAGTCATTAAAAGTAGAAGAAAAATAACTGGTGGTCCATTTGACCCAAGTAAAGCACAAGGCTTAAGAAGGAGGAAAAAAAACTAAACATCCACTGAAAATTAGATTAAACCCTAATTTACTGGTAGAAAAATTCAAATAAAAAAAATCCATTGGCAGATATCACTAAAGTAGAGCTCAAACTTAAAAGTGAATACATTATCATAAATAAATTGTAATTTTTTGTCTATTTCTATGCTCAGCTTTTGAGCATCATTTTGAATGTATTGTTTAGCTTTGCCCTACTAAACCTGAGTGCTTGGTGTTGTTGGTGGATGTTGATGATGGCTTCCGACACGGTCCAGTTGAGAACCACTACTATAAAACAGTCCAAGCCAATAGCAATGCAAAGTTAGATTTCCCAGTCACCATAAATAGTAAACTAAAAACACCAGCGATTGATTAATAGACTAACCGACATAAAGGCAACAAAAGGAGAGGAGAAAAGTGGGAGTAGATGGTGGGACAAGAAAAAAGGCAGTAAAACGAAAACGAGGCTCAAGAACTGTGGAGGAGAAAGCAGGAGCAGAGACGTGTAGAGAGTCCCAGTTAACATGGCCTCTGGTGCATTCTGCAAACACTGCCAAATGTAACACATGCTCACAGACAACAGAGATGGAAGATGTGCTCTGTCAAAGTCATCTCTAACTGTCTGCATAAGTGAGAAAATGTGCATGTAGAATTCCAAGGCTTCGGGCTTTAACTCCCATTAACCTTCTCACTTCAAACACAGCTTATGTATTGAATTGAAGTATGTTTCTAAATCAATGTATTTATTGCAAAATGTGAAAATCTTGAATTAAAATGATATATGGATTAAATAGCAGTCTTTCCAACAGTAGTAGCGATCCATCCTTTGTTCTCTTGTCCGGATGTAAAGGACCACCCAGCACACCGACATATGAATGTTTGAGGCTATGGTCCAACAAATAATTACTGTGTCCGACTAAAGAATATTCAATGTGTTTCAAACTGTAAAAATGCTATCATCATAAGTTCATAACAGTGATACTTATAGGTTGACTACTATTGCCTATTGGCCAGTTTTACCTCTAATATCACTTATTTCAACGCCATGATAATTCCTCACTTTACTTACTGTTTATCTAGCTGGTCGCAGGCAAAGGAGACCACGCTCAAACCACTCAGATCTGTGTACAATCAGGCTTTAAAAGGCACTTGACAAAAAACCACTTTGTTATCATCATTGCAATATCCTGAGTAAGTTCAAACTGCTCAGTTTTGACAATATAATTCTATATAATAATCTAAGAACTATATTCAAAATCACTAATAATACAGCTCCACCACCACTGAAGAACTTTGTCAGACTTTGTTCTGAGCAAAATACGAGAGCCACTCGGTCCACTGCAAATAAAAACTGTGTAATCCCAAAAAGATCCTCGGCCTTTGCACAATGTGCCTTCTCATTTCGCTCCATTAAACAGTGGAATGAGCTTCCAGACTGTCTGAAACTGTCTGTAGATCATAATAGTTTTACTCGAAATTTGATAAAGTATATTTTAGATCATCAATCGTGTCAGCATTGATGAATGTATTGTAAACTGTAGGGATTGTTTATATGTTTTTTTTAGAAGTGTACAGAAAACTAATGTATTTTATATAGTGATTTTATTGTAGATTAGATTTATAGATTGTAATGTTTTTTGTACTCACCTGTCCAGGGACTGCAGATGGAAAATAGATACTTTGCTAAATCTGGTACAAATCATCTCTTCTTTTGTAAAGACTAATGGTTTTGTACACTGTCCCTGTTTCAATAAACAATAAAGAAGAAGAATATAGAATTATGAATTAAGCAACTGCCTACAACTCTACCTCATTACAATGGATTTATTAAAAAGGTGAGACATATTTTGATATGCAGCATAATAAAAAGTAATGACATAGGGAAACCAAAGCTAATGCTACAGTAATAATTAAAACCATTTGTGTAAAGTCATCTACTGAGGACTTTCCGGTTCTTTAACAGAGTAAATATTGGCGATAGGGGCCATAGCTCGATTTGACTTTCTGCTAATGTTCAGCAAAGCACTCGGCCCATCCTGAACCTGCTAACCCACATTCCTGCGCAAAAACCTGCTTCAATGTAGACCTTTATGGAGAATGCGACCCCCATCAAACAAACAAAGGCTCTGTTCAACCTGTTAGAACTGAGGGATCCTCTGAAAGTAATGAGCAAAACAAGCAAAGACATGTAGTCAATGCATTACCTATTGTTTCTTGTTTGCACAAGTGTAACTCGGAGGAGTGATGTGTTTACTGAAATCAACAGTGTAAACTTTCAAGAGGTGATACATAACCCTACATGAATCTGTGGGAAAGAAAAGTCAAAACCAATTCAACATTTTTAAGGAACAATATTTCAATGGAAACAAGCAGCACAACCCCACTAAGGGACGTTGGTGAAATGGTTAATGTCAAAAGAAATGTCATTGCACAAGTTGATAAGAACATATTTATTTGGCCTTTCTTACGGAAAATGTTGGACCTTTTCCTCAAACCTTTCGTACAAAAGGACAAAATCAAGAAATGTTGTGGTCATCAATGCTCAACTAGTGTGCACTAATCAACAACAAATATGTCTTCCGGTGCCCCCGATATATTGCTCTCTGATGGAATATTTAGTAATTGCTGCAAATGTACTCCATCTAAAAAAACTATCCTTTCTTTGAAGCCACGTTATGGATCAAAACATCAGCTGGAAATATAGGACACTGCAGCAGAGACGAGGGCCTGGAAACAAAACACCACAAACACACAGTCTGCATCTCGACTCAAGGGCAAACAGAGAGCACTCCTCAAACATGAAACACATGTATTGAAATAAAAAAGGGTCAAATTAATGGATCCTTCTAGAATTGATTGTTTATTGATCATTAATCTTGAAATATTTGTTTGTTTTAGTCAGCAAGTAGGTGCAACCCTAACTAAATATTTGTCGATGTGTAATAAGTCTTGGTGTTAAAATTACACAATGACGCCTTCAGGTTTATGCACTTGAATGATTCGAGATTCTAAAGTTTCAATGTGATTTAATGTTGAGAAAGTACACATTTTGCCTAATGACACAACAACAGTTAAGCACTAAAGTGGCAGTGTTCCCAGTGGTCTCCCATTACAATACTAACCAAGTCTAGCCCTGCTTAGCTGAGAGGTTATCGGCATCGGCATTTGACCCATCCTACAATGCCACTAGGGCCTCTGTCGGGAGCAGTGGTTGCCATACACTGAATGCAAAACAAAGGAGGTATGGCCATAGATGTACACACTCAGGGAATGATTCACTTTCATTTCAAAAGAACTAAGTTATCATGCAATACAGCAGACTATTGAGAGAAATGGTTGTACAGTGCGTCTGCTGTGCATGTGTGTCAATGGAGATCCAAGACTTGAGTAAAAATGCTCAGTCAGCCTTT